TACAACACAATGAGTAAATTCTTCCTTAGGTGTAGTATTATTAATTGGTATTTCTCTTGTTTCAAGCTCCTCTCCTTCATTAGCATTATCACTGATATCACTACCATCATCAACATCATCATCATCATCTTCTTCTTCTTCTTCTTCTTCTTCTTCATCTAGTAAGAAATCAACATTCTTGGCTTTATCAAGTTGAAGATAGTCATATGCAAGTATATCACCATTAGAATCACTATTCCCTTCATAGTTATCATCATAATCAAAATCATCAATATTTATGTCATCAAAATCATTAGTAACTTCATCTAAAATTTCAACAACTTCCATTTCAGTAAATGATTCCATGATCTTTAATTTGATAGTAATTTAATTTAAAAAATTTTTTGTGGGTATAAATAAGTAATTGTTTCAATTTAATAATATATCTAATTCAAACTTATCTTTTCCTCCTCCAAAACCTTTCTCTTTATATACTTATCTAGCATTCTATTTATGTGGCAGATTGATTTATTTTTACATCCCATGTAATAATTTCGGCCTTAGATTTGAATCTAATTTTAGATCCCATGTGGTAATTTTGGCCTTGCAAGCCTGATTTTCATTTGCATTTACTATTTTTAGACATAGTCACACAATCAGATAATTACCGAGATGATGATAATAATAATAATAATAATTTGGCAATTACTATTATTATGATTATGATGACAATTTATTAAGGTGAACAAATATAATACTAAGAGTAATTATTTTATTGTTTGATAATTATGAATACAAAGAATTGAAGAAATAATAATTAACAATAAAGAAATTTATTTATTAATAATGATAGACCTTTGACACTGTACATCAAGCAAGGCTTGAATATTTCAGAACAAAGCTCCAAAGGGTTGTATTTTCCATATGTAACTGTTAGTTATTTTTACATAAGAATACAATTTAGGTTTTTAACTTACTGTAGAATTTTAAATTCCCAGAATTGAATTATTTATTATAAGGATTTCCTATGGTCAATTGGCAA